AAGAGGTCTAAAGGCTAAGGTGCTCGGCTGTTGACCCACAGGTCGTGGGTTCGAATACCGGTGGCTGCGGCTGCATTTTCGACAGAGGCGAGAATGCTGTTATTGGCCCGTATGCTCTGATTCGCCTGCACGTTAAAGAACCCCAGGTGGTTTAAATTTCTGGAGCCCTCCACCACGGCGTCTCTCATAATGAATGGTGGTTTTGAGATGTTGAACCTCACATATTATTTGATTTTTTTTTCTTTTCTTCAACATAAGAAACCCAATCTTTTGAGAACATGTGGCTCATATGAGGAGCTTGTGGCTATTTGCTCGTACTCAAACCCATGGAAAGCGATAAGATAAATAGGTTGGTGTTTACCTGTTTACACATAAGCACGTATTCAACCATGATTGTGCATATTTGTGGTCTTAGACAAACACTTTTTATAATGTTATGACTTTGCTTGATTTGTGATTTGACATGTTTTTGTGTGCACATATACAGGGCATTCAAGAAATGGGTCCAGTAATAATGAAAAAATACAGAAAGAAGTCCCCTGGGAGCTACCTGCAGCGTTCCCTTCACTACGGCAGAAGGTATCTTCGGATGCGTACGAAGAATAATTACGGCAGTAATTGCAGACATTAAAATATAATTACTTCTTTAAGCAGTGGGTTTAAGCAGTCAATTTAATCAGGCAAATTGAAGTGTTTCCTGGGATTAGAACGCCGCCACTTTGAAATGTCTGAAAAGTGACCGCTTGTGCTTGCCGCTTATAAGTGAAATCTGGCTAATTTACAGGCGAAACGATATTTCAAAGCATATATTGAAGGAGCTGTGCAGACGGCATGCAGGAAAGAAGGCAATGAAACAGATATTAAGCAACCTTGGAGGTAATATTTCACAGGCTATTTTATAAAAAAATGAATACGTGCCATCCAATCGGCATGTCAATGCTTGCGACTTGCTTGAAAACAAAACCTATACGGCGTGGTAGTGACGAAAGAAAACAAATGCCGAACTCTGAGAGTGATTTTGCGTCAATCAAGCTTATCTCTGTGCCTTGTTTTTGAAAAATGATAGTTTCAGAACATATTACTAAGGCTCAAAAGAGAGCAAAGTCGTCTGTCTGCCAGCGAGGAATCGACCTCTCTTGCTCACTTCTATTCTAAATCAAAGAAAGATCTGCCAAAATCTAATCTATACTAATGAATCAATTTCGACTTCTGCACTTTCTTTTGCCATAGGGTCGTTTAAAGTACTCAAGTGTTTTTGATTAGACCGCACTACTGAAGGCTGAGGTCTAATCACATTCATTTCGGGGAAAATATGTCGTAAGGCAAAAATATTTCCCAAGTAATGAATCCAGACTGTGAAATTTTAACTGGAAAGCTAGTCTTTACCGGGTGTTTTGTGGTATAAATCGTAAAAAAAATTCCTTACGTTGTTAGGTGAGCCGTCTTGACAGGGCTCTAAATTTTATATTGGGCGTGGTACATGGCGTTCTGAGTTAGGACGAAAAAATGAAACAATTGCTAACAAGTATAGTGAATGGTGTAAAAGCGAATTCCCTTCTCTCATATTCTAAATTACCGAGTGATGACTTCAATTGAGGTATGAATAATTGAACAGGCCAACGTTATAGACGGATCGACTTGCAAATCGCGCTCCAGTTGGTGATGGTAGAGCAACCAACATTTAAATTTTTTTGAAGAAAGCCCGTAATATTTCGCTAGGTATACTCAACCATTACATCAAATGCTTGTAGATTCATCATATTGTAAATTTGCTAAAATTATTCCAGTTCTTCAAAGCAGAGTGCGGGATACACCTTGAACGTACGATGAAACAAGCGCTAAAAAAATGCACACACTCAGAGAGGATACAGACGAGTGCTTACTAGCAAGTGAAAATTTTATTTCGAAGTGAACACTAACACATGCACTACACGCATGTACCTCATTCCAAACCTATTTCAGAGGTGCGGGGTTCCCAGCACCTTACAACCTTCTCAAAGGTACAAGCGGCTCAATGCCGGACGAAAGCAGAGCAATAACAGGTCTGTGATGCCCTTGGATGTCCGGGGCCGCACGCACGGTACACCGAAGAAGCAGTTCGCACGCTCTGCCGAAAGGTTCTCTTGGTGGTCAGATATTCTAAATCGTATGGACAACAGCTCTCATGATTCGTGACAGATTTAGAAGGCGTGCCCTATTGCAAGACACTAGAAAAACAATTATCGCTCGTCTATACGAGAATCGACACCTTTTGTTCTCTTGGCGTAGGAGTTTCTCTTCAACACGACAAGAGGCAGTTATTTTTTTATTATTGCACTGTCGCTTTCCAAGATTAAACTATTACATACAAATAGCTGGTCTGGCTCCTTCCCCTCGTCGCTCGTTTTACAACGATGGCGAGAGGATGAAGCATTATTTCCTATTATGCAACCGCTTCAATTTTTTGATAAGAAACATTCTCAAAACGGTGTTCAATCGCATTGGAGTGAATTTCATACTTTCAAATATCCTAACCTAGGGAGGATTGGGCCATTGTGGATCTCGGTTCTGTGGTACAGTAATCTAAAATATCACGACTGTCTTTGCCTCCATAGAGCTCAATACTCTCATTGTCGATATTCATAGAAACATAATGAAAATCCGGGTGCCACTTTGCTGCCTGATATAAATAAAGCACGGGAGATAAGGGAGACATAATATATGCTTCGGCCAAAAAAATTTTTAGCTGTTCGGTGTCCCAATATGCACTCTAACCAAGCTTAACGTCACAAGTGATCAGGCGAGACTGCAATATTATCGTTTATTTATGTATTCAGTGTGAATAAAGAACAGAACCCTTCTCCGAAGCAGTGCTAGCTACTGAACAGGGGATCATAACTCAAACTCATGTTAATCATATCTATATAATTTTCAATATCTCCAAGGACACGGGGATTCCATGCTGCGAGTTTCTTGAGCAGATGCTACACACGTTAACTATACACATCTTGCAAAAGCACATTCCTGTTCTGCAAGAAGCCATCAGGAAGCGAAAAGTCACTCACGGTGACCCTGAAGCTTTTTCTTCAACGTAGAGAAGGTGGCGGCGCGCACAACAAAGCGGCGAAGACACTTCAGCGACAGAAGCACCTCCAGCTCCCTAGTCTGGCTTCTCATCGGGAACGGGAAAAAAGGTTTTCAACTCTAGAGCAGAACGCACTTTGTCTTCTTCGGCCTCTTGACCTGCAGGGCGGCCCTCGCTTTAGTCTCAAACACCTCACGCACACCGTCCTTGGTCTTGGCAGAGCACTCAAGGTAGCCGTAGGCGTGTATTTTTTCCGCCATGGTGCGCATTTCCTCCGGTGCCACGGGCTTCTGCTTCATCTTCGCAAGCTCCCGCAGCGTGTGCGGGTCACTGCGCAGGTCCTTCTTGTTCCCCACGAGAATGATGGACATGTTGGGGCAGAAGTGGCGCACCTCGTGCGTCAACTTCTCCGGGATGTTCTCCAGAGAGTCCGGGGAGTCGATGCTGAAACACATGAGGATCACGTCTGTGTCCGGATACGACAGGGGCCGCACCCGGTCATAGTCCTCCTGCTTCGCTGTGTCCCATAAGGCCAGCTCAACCTGCTTTCCATCGACTTCGATGTCGGCTACGCAGTTTTCGAAGACGGTGGGCAAGTAGACCTCGGGGAACTGATCCTTGCTGAAGACGATCACGAGACACGTCTTACCGCATGCGCCGTCTCCGACTATCACGAGTTTCTTTCGGATCGCCGCTATCTGTGGTCTCTGTTAGGGGAATGAAATATATACACGGTTGGGAGTTTGACGGCTGCCCATGCCTTTTCAAGAGGGCCGTCCTGAATCTCGTGGGCCACTTCAAGGAGCAGGAAAGGTGATCCTCGACTCGCTTTATAGTACCATGCCAGCCGCGCATGGTGCTGGGGACAAGTGCAACATTATGTCGCCCGGCGAGAAACTGCGCATCAGTTCATGAGGCTGGTCGTTGAAGTCCTCTCTAAGTAGCCACGGATGCGTGGTATAGCTCAGGCCGAGGACTTGATGCTAGCGCATGAACCGGCCTTCAAGGAGCAAAAAATGCTTGCCTCGCCGATGCCCCTAGGGTAAACCTTGCACAACAGCCGAAGGTGATAGCAGGACCCGACCGGAAGGCGTTTTGCGAAGAAGGCACAGGTGCGGAGCGGAGGCGCTTTGCAAATGAGCTCGCGGCCGTGCGTGACGATGTCGCATGCATTTCGCAGGAAGCCCGCAAGTCCGAAACGGCGCTTCTCAATCGCAATCACCAGGTTTTCGCCGTCCCCCTGTGCTCTGCGCTTCGAGGTGGCGATGCCACAGTCGTGCTGTCCGAAGTGAGCGCTGTGTCGCTGGGCGGTGTCCCGAGCTGAAGACATGCGTAGTCTTCTGTTTTCAAGATGCTTTGCGCCAAACAGGAGAGTCAACAAGGCCTCGGTCGTACTTGTGGTGAGATGGCGAACGACGCGACGAGCATATGCTGAGAACTGCAGGTCGAAGACCTGCTGCGGAGGCTTCAACATGATGACCAGCAAGCTGACGTGGATTGCCTTGAGCCACCACGCGCGTATGACACGCGCGCTTGCGAAAGCTTCGTAGGAATTAAGAAAAAGAGGAAGGCGATGGTTGAGTTTCTCGGTGAAATTTTTATCTCCACAAATCAGGATTTCCATTAACTAACCTACGAGCAGTTTGCAATGAGCCGTAATCTTTAGATCAGTTTCTTCTCCCTTGCCACCGCTTCGCCTCACTGCGCCGAATAATTCTTGAGAGACCGATTGGTACACTCGGATTGCCAGTTAATACATCTACCATTTTATCGTTTCGAGCATGTCAGTTGGGTGCGCTGTCAGCGCTACATCAATTCATTCACGCAACCGGAAGGATATGCCGCTAGTTGTACTGCCGGATATATCCAGTTTTTTGTCCTCTTTGTTCATTTTTGCTAATATGTTCTACATATTCTCGTTTATCGAATTTTTCTGCACATTTTCGCGTTTTTTCAAAGGAACTTTATTGTTGTTCTAATCTAATTTCTCTCTTTTTAGCAAGCATTGTATAAAAAATTGCAATATAATGTACAGTGTGGCATATCCCCCTTGTACGTATGAGCCAAGATCTAGGCGACAAGACAAGACCTAGTGTATATGCACAGTGCAGGCCTCATGGTATAAATAGAATAAGGCGTGCCCACGCCATCTCTGCAGAAAAAACTCAATCTACATGTATGCATTGCTGCATACATATACATTGAGAATTGGCGATATCTTTCTCTAGTGCGTGCTTCAAGCACTGATATATATTGTAACTTGCTACGCCCCCCCCTCCCACCCCCATACGTGGCCATAAGGTAAAAGACGCAGTGAAGTATGTGCCTTATGTAGTGGGCTACCAGCTTTAAATCACGAATTCATTATTGTTAATCGCATGTTCCTATGCCCGATGGCAATGCAAGCTTGCTTGTACCGCGCGTTACTATTGCAGGATTTCACGTTATAGTGTGAAGTCTTTGTACAGGACGCGTATGTTTGGGAAGCATGAAAATTACTTTCACTGCATTTTCAAGCAAAGGAAATTATTTTCACTGTATTCACAAGCAGTGGCGTGACTGTGTATTAGAATTTCACAATGTCTGGAATTGGTTGGCGAATGCTGTGCAAAAAAAAAAGTTGGAGCACCTTGCATTAGTGGCAGAACGCCTGAACCAATTGTGAAGCTGGGCGGCCTTTCTTGATCTTCCTTAATTTTTTCTATCATTCTGTTTTTTATTTCCATCTTTGTCTCTCTTTCTGCTTATTACTTTCATGCTCACTATCTCTATATATCTATAACTCTTTTTATTATTATTTTTTTTATTCGTTATTCCACTTTCGTTGTTTTCACTTCCTTCCTTTCTTACTCTATTATGTCTGTTTTTTTCTATACATTTTTTGCGTGTTTCTTTGCATATCTTTCTATATTTCTTCCTGTCGTCATTTTCAATCTATGTGTCTTTGTTTCTAAGTCTTTTCGCTGTGTTCTGGTTACATTAAACATTCTTGTTATTGCATCTCACGCCGGACAAGTCAGCACAGACATCGGGTGAGTGCATGCCAAGTTCACGTGTTCGGCAGGCGAAGAAGAAGATGAAGGAGAACGCGAACCGGCTTGACCGTTTTCCGGAAGGCGAATTGGGAACTTGCCAAGGAAATGAAGGCTTATCTTGTCCGACTTTTTAGCCTGTATTATTCTATGCCTTCCACAGAGAAGTTTTTTTTTTTAGCAAATGAAGCAAAGTCAATTGTTTAAGCAGCTTCATGGTTCATTGAAGAGGCGTCGATATCAAGGGTAACGGCCGTCGGCGTGTGCAAGGAACGGGGACAGGCGCAGGGAAAAGGCGGGGGGAGACTACTGGTGTCCTTGTCACTGAGGGCGCAAGGGCTGCAGTACATATACATAATAAGAGGGTGGCGCTGCTGCGATGACCTTTGACCTATATCCCTTGGAACTTCGCAAACTAGTGACACAAGAGACAAGCATTTACAGGCCCACAGATTTTGGAGCTTCACCCTGAAAGAGGCTCTGAAAATCAGCGTTTCACATGCGCCGCTGCTACCGCTGCTCTTCCGCGACACCCGCTGCTCTAGCGGGCAGTGTTATCCGCGGAATCCACCGGTTGACCGCTGTTTTCAGTGGTATCTGAAAGCCGCGCTCTCCTCCAAGTGTCCTTCTTTTGGCGCCCCGTGCTACGAGGTTCATCATCAATAGCCGCTCGACTTTCACGCGTCTGTACACTGATTGAACTATTTGTAACACGAATCTTACAAGAAATAAGCAACGTTTGCCGTTGCTTTTTGTTTTGTCCTGGCTTTTTCAGGTATGATTCGTGTTGCGCGCTCATATAACTGACCATGAAGAAGCAAAAAAAAAGAAAGAAAGAGTTTGCTTGTATGGGTTTATTATACAGCTGTTCCGGGTAGGTGAATGCTTAGGAACTGCGAGCGTGTTTTGCGCAGCACTTCCCATCTTTCTCCGATTCATTGCTTTTGATTTCAGCGATTTAACATTGGGACACTGAACGAGGTTTCTGTCAGCCCAGTATACACAACCCGTAAAATTTATACCAAAATTTTTGTACCTGTTCGTCCGAGTCAAAATAAGAGTTTTTATAAAAACTAAGTATAGTAAGCTTCGGCAGTAAGCTTCGGCAGGATCTGTATGGAAATACCACGAATGGCCAGTGGCGCTCAACAGCAGACGCAGAAGGAACTGCAATGATTCAACTACAGCCTCCTGTGGGCCACAATTACCGCAAATCAGCGGCTGAAACAAGAGATATCTTTAGATCTTATTTTGTAAGCCCACAGGGGGCCGTGCCTTAGCAGCGGGCGTCCGCCGGACTACGCCCTTAAAGTTTTTACAAAATGTAACGCAGGGTACATGCCAAGGTTAGCGATGACTTTTTAGCGAAAAAGTCAAGGGAAGTCAAATATACAAATAACGAGATAGCCTACATTCCATTTTCATTCTTTCTTTTTTTAAGAGGGGGGGGGGGGGTGTATCAGCTCATATTTTTGTGACATACCGTGTTTTTTTTTCATTGAAGTTCGAGTGTCGTTTCACCTTAGTTATATTATTGTATAGTACACCACACTCCATCCCAGTATTATTTTATATATTATGTTTTATATTTTATTTCTATGTTTCTGGGGCTACTGACGTGGCTTCAGAAATCGAGTGTTTATGCATCAACACCTGTATATTGCCGCTAAGCAAACACAAAATATTACTGGAAAGTACATTATCTATAATTTCATGCAGAGTGTCATATTTGCCTATACAGAAAGTTCCGTTTGAACACCAATGTGCTTGAATTGGCCATTCAATAAATACAGATACTGACGCATGAAGTTCACTGTCTAGCTCTATTTTATTTTCAATCTGCACTCACCAATCGTATGAACGCAGTGAAAGAGGACGGCGCCCCTCGCTATACGTGGAGCAAATATGGAGTAGATCCATCTTCAAATCTGTGAGCATTTCTTGTGGCGTGCTTTGCAGGTATGGTTTCAAAGAAAAAAGAAATAACCCGTTAGCGTCCATCGGCTTGTGAGCCGCAATGACGTTGCGCACTGCGTTCAGTTCGTCGTCGACAGTTTCCAATTCTCTTTTTCGCTGCCGCTTTGACCTTTGTTGTGGCGTCGATGAAACTTCCTCACTTTCTCTTGGCCAGCTGGCAGCCTGTGATGGATTGGAAAGTGGTGGATTGGAAGGCGGTAGATTGCAGGGAGGCGGTAGGTGGTGTGGCGGATTAGGTGGTGTTGTAACCCGTTCTGATACGCTAGGTTCTTGGAATATAAGTTCAAACGGATTTCTTGTGACGGGGCAGTTATCGACATCGGAACCATTCCGGAAAGCTTGCGATGGCAGGTCGAGTGGCCCCACAGGCAAGGATGTTGGAACCGCTGTTTCCTCGCTGGCATCCATCTTACTGATGCTCCTGAAAGCAATGTATAATTCAGTAAATAAATGATTATACATTACAAAGACGACAGCAAGCATACGAGTACTATGCTACATTGGCTATTTAAAACTCGTGCTTAATATTGCCACCTGATATTTACGATTACGTCACGTACCGCCTAGGTTCCAATACGTCTCTGAGGAAAGTCATCTGTTCAGTGTGCGGCCAATATGCTGTCTTCGATGGAGCTGCAGCACCGCTCTTTTTGATTTTTTTCTCTTCTTTTATTTTTTTCCTGAATGTGTCCTTAAATTTCTTCCAACGTGCTTGAAGTTCGTCTGCTGTCACTGAATAAGACAAATTTCACATTAGAGCAAATCTTTTAGAATAATGTATGCCTGGCACATCTATTTTGAAACTATAAGTTAAAAAAATAAGTCTACATGAACAACGTGTACGAAAAGAAAATGTTCACGAACGGTAGAGGAATAATCCCATGTGACACGTGACGCATCTCGTTCCTAAATTTTATAAAAGCAAACGTGTGTGAGCATTCAAAATGATGAATTGATGGACTTTAATGCCAACCCACAGCTCCATGCTTGGTTCTTCAGTTATGCACACACGCACACATGGTCGTATACATGCAAAAACACATTGTTTACTTACCAGATTCATCGACTTCTTTAAGAATCTCGGCAACTTCTTCCCAGAGGATCATCTTCTTCTGCTTATTCCGGAAATGTTTACTCTTTACGTCCCAAAGAATAGGTCGTTTAACAACTTCAGCAATCAACAACTCATTGAAAGTAGCGCGAGACATTTGTGGGCTGGGGAGAGGACGGATGTCGTCTGCTACTCAGCCGGAGCGAGTTGTTCTGTGGAACCAGTTCCTCACAGCGCGCGCGTCAACTTCTCGACTCCACCCCCGTCATCACGTGTCAAACGACGTCACTGGTTGCTCTGCCGCTTGTGCCGCTAGCGAATTTTTCCAACTCGAGCGAATTTCACAAGGGCGTCTAGTCGCCGCGGTAAAAACCTGTTTTAGCCTTGCGCGGTGGCTGCCGCTCCGCTCTTGGA